AAGACATGGCCTTCATCTAAGCAAATCTGGCATGACTCAAGTGGCTCGCCTTATTGTCAATGTAGTGACGAAATGGTTAAAATCCCAAACTTTCCCTAATGGCTTGCAATCTGCTGTTAAACCCTCTGTATCAAGCCAGGATGTGCCAATCTCAAAACTACAGGCTATACATCAATATAAGAACTCCACACTAATGCTGATGAATCAATCACCGGAGCCTGAAGAAGTGCATGTTACAAAAGATATTACATTTATTCAGTCTGACATGAGAGAAATAATAAATAAGTACAAAAATAATGCAGCTTTTGGTCATTGTATATCGGCTGATTTCACTGAAAAAAAGCAAATGAGTGAAGGAGTGGCTGTATGCTTTAAAGAAATTTTTGGGAAACCGAATCAGTATGATTATTGTGATGATCACTTAACCTTCCAAAAGAAAGTTGATGAAGCAGCTGTTTTTAGTCTTGTCACTAAACCTGAATATTTTCTAAAACCTAAAACTCATGTATATAACAAAGCTTTTCTCAACCTGGCTACCAACTTTCAGAAGCATGATTTCAAAAAGTTTATTTGTTCTCCACTTGGTTGTATCCGGGATCGCATCACTCCACACCAATTTGCAACAGAAATAGTAAAATTCCAAAAACAAAAACTGGTGCCTCCATCAAAATTGTTTTAAAAGAAGAACTAGCTACAAGACAGCTGAGACGTGGCCTATCTCATGATGAGTTCCTGACTCAACTGAAAAAAGAAATTCAAAAGGAAGCAGCAAAAAACTCCTCTATGCAGAAGTGTGCAGACCAGAGATCATCACCTCCAGTTTCAACCCATTCAGTTACCTCACATCTCGATGACATCAGCATCATCCCTGAGTCCCCTAGCAGAACCAACGGCCCTGAGGTCCAATCTCCAGAGTGTTCAGCACACAACGAGCAGCCTCAGAATTAAAGTGTGAGTGAAGTGTCGGTTAAAAAGCAGAGTACCGTTTTACAGTGTGGTGTGCCAAGCAGAGATAATGATGAATCACATGTAAATATTAGAAATAAGTTAGTTCATAGGGATTATGTAAATACCAATAGGAATAACAGTATTTTTTTAGGAGAAGAAACCTTGTACCAATGAGGGGAAAAGTTGATTTTAAAAATAAATTAAGTAATTGTGTTAATATTTTACATTTTAATGTACAGGGATTTTTAAATAACCATTTGGAGTTACAATTGTTTTTGGAAAATCAGGCAAAATATGTTGATGTTATCTATACTTATTTAATACGCAAGCACGATTTTTGTGACAATTACTCCTCCGAAACTACTGAACCGATTGACATGTTTTTGGTGTCATTGGAAAGAGCGTAACGTGAAGTTGTGCAGGAAACTTTCTTTTTAGGTAAATAATTAGAGAGTGAGGCCCTAGGGACCTTTAAAGTTTCGTATTTCTCCGTAAGATTAACATGGGGAACAAACATTGTTTTGAAACTCCAGCTGCTGTCAGAAATTTAATATTAAATAATTGGTCTCCATGGAAACATGAGAAAATCCACAATGTTTACATTTGCTTTGACATTTTATTGTTAACAAGCAGAACTGTCAAATGCCTACTTCACAAATTCCGACAGCTGATCCAAAAAAATGTATTTTGCTTCCACCGTGTAAAACAACTATGTGGTAGGTTTATTTCTTCCTAAGCTTTATGATAAATTATTTATTATAAATCTATTTCAATGATTATGAAACAGATTTTTCCCGCTGCGAAGCAAAAATTAATAGTGAGAAGAAGAACATATGTAAAACAGTCAATGTGTAAATTATCTATGTTGTATTAAAAATGTTTTTAGTTTTGGATGTTGGTTTGTGTTAAATGATATCAGTTATTAGTTATTTCTAAGGATTTGGCATATGAGTAAGCCTATGATAAATAACACCATTTCAGAGTTCTGCCAGTTTTTGCCTACTGTCCTGTAGAGTTTAAAGTAGCCTACACCTTATTGCCTACAAATTGGCTAAATAACTTAGGTACGGTACATTATAAAAGCTGACAGCCTTTTTACGTTGACTTAAATTGTAAGCTTACCTTTTCCCGTACATGTGCAGATTGATTGTTAAAAATTAACCCTTTAAACTGGAATAGGACTGTCATGTAAATTGTGAGCATTTCCTTTTGTTAATAATATTTTAGTTGACTCTTTTAAAATCATCAGAAATTATGACTGTTATTAGTTTTTAAACAAGTTATTTGTTTATAAATAACTCCTGTACTTCTTTGCAAATGCTCGATTTCGAGCAACATATACACTAGTTTCACTAAATGAGCATTGGTTGGACAACAAAAATATTCGACTGCTGAGTAAGTTGGATAACTTTGTGATTTCTGATTATTTTTCAAGAATAGATCAGTTAAGGGGAGGGTCATGCAGTGGCGTTGCTTGGTTAAATTCCAGGGGGGGGAGAAGCCTCAAATTTCCCAACTGCCTAACATAGATTTCCCAACTATTTTTTTTTTAAATCAATTTCTGTACCGGTACTATTTTTAAAAATCTACAAATTATTATACTACACTGCAGTAACATTCAATTCAGTATTTATAAACTCGCATTAACAAAACATAGCTAGTTTTACATCCTATACAAAATTACTCAATTTCTAAAACTTCTACCAATTCATAATGAAATTTTATGACTTCAAAAAGCTTGAACAAGTAATGTTTCGAATCCAAAAAACTTTAAAAACCATTGTGGTAGCAGACGTAGCAGTGTAAAATTTTAGTGATATAAAATAAGCCTCAGAGTACAAATTAGTGGGTATAGAAAATATATTTTATTACAAAATAATGAAATTAAAATACTTTTAGAAGTTAAGATCAACATTTTAACTTTCATAAAACTTACAGCTAGGGTAGGCCTAAACAAGTTTGTAATGATGAAATATTAATATCAGTGTTGTGAATAATATTACTCTAGCCTAGAAAGGAATAAACCTAAAGTAAGACTCGTATAAAATAAAAACGTTCAACTTGGTTGATAATAAACTTATACATACAATAAAAATGTTAACCTTCATCTTCATCAAACTAGAACTTAGACAAAAATCAAACTTAGAGTGAAAGTCAAACATCAAATTTTAGGTTATGTTTTGTCCACGTAGATCTGTTTCAGAGTGATTAGTTGATTCATTTTTGTAAATCCTTAATTAGGAGTGTTAAATAACTTGTGTAGATTTTTAAAATATATTCAGAGAATAAATATTCCATTTAGTTTATTAAAAAATAAGAGTTTTAAAGGTAATACCGATACACAAAACCTATGTTTAATGTTATTTTAATCTGCTTATTAGCAAGTACTCCGGTCAGTTAGCCTGCTCCAAATACCACAAAAAAGGTATAAAATATATTTCATGTGACTGACGTGAAAAATATTTTTGAATTTCTTGTAAACACTAACAAACAACATAATTGAACAGAAGAGCTACATTGCTTGCACTTTCAAAATTCAAACTTGCAGACGAATCATTCAGAATAATCAACACAGGACAGGATCAAGGTACCCAACATGCGTCCAATAAGGAACAAAATTTCTCGTAAACGAAATTCCAACAAGCTTTACCGCTAATTGATTATTGATTTCTTAAAATAAGGCGTGTTTAGCCATGGTTTAGCCTTGTTTAATCAAAGTTAAATTAAATCAAAGAAGCGTCAAGTTTATTTGTCCAAGTCAAAGAAATTTTTCCCTTTGATGGATTTTTGCAAATATTTAAATTTTGTTTAGTTTAAAAATATATTTTTCTTGTATCCGACTTCCCAACTGTCCCAACTCATGGCAAGGAAATTCCCAACTTTTCTCTTTCCCAGATTCTAGGGGGGGGAGGCTCCCCCCCCTACCCCCCCCAAGGCGACGCCCCTGGGGTCATGTATAATGATAAAAAAAATGTCAAAAATCAAGCTTTATGGTAAATGAGATTGAGTATTTGGGGTATAAAATTAGCAAATCAAATCAAATCATTGATTTAACACTTTCTAAAGGTTCCTTTAATATTTACGTTATTTATAGCAATGCAATGTTTGGCTGGTGATTAGTACAGTTTGAGTTAGCTATAATTTTAAACGTTGCCGTTTGTACAACTGAACCAAGATAAATGATTTGAAATTTACAATAATAATGTTATTGCACAATAATAAAGATTGTACAATATTGAATTTTGTTTATAAAAATGATAATCGTGACGTTAATGGCTGTTTACAGCGTTTTGATGAGTTTGTCATCTGTTTTTATAATATATTGGATTAACCGTATTTTTCATTACCCCCCCCCTCTCACTATTAACTCAGGTAATCTAGTATCTACACAATAGTGTAAAGTATTGTAGCCTATGCTACTTGATTGTATTTTAACGAGCTTTATGTCAACAAAGCGTTCTGTGCTAAGTCGCGGTGTAGCTGGACGTGTCTGTACCACGCGTTATCTTTTATCTATCACAGCAGTTGAGCCATTCCGTGCCCTCCCTCTTGGATCTCACGTCTTGCTAATCTTAAATAATAACTTCCTACACGAATTCTAAACTATCGTAAAATCCTATTTTAACTATTTGAATTCAATAATATAACTATTGTCATTAATTAATCCACTTTCTATCTGGCGACTTCGTAGTATATTTTGGATTGTCGTCACGTTGAACACTGTTGCAATTAGCTTTAGCCACCTCCCCCCCCCCATTTGAATTTTTTGAGCCCCCCCCCCCAAGAATTTCAATGACGCAGTCTGCGTCACAGCCCCCCCTTGTGGGCACCCCTGCTCACCCTGTATAATTAAAGATATAATTGCACTCCATATATATGATCATGTTTATGTTTATGTTTTTTAGCCATACATAAAAGTATTACATATCATTAGCAGTGAATGTGTTTAGTTGTTAGTCCCAGTCTTTTAATAGATCAAAAAAATTAAATCCAGTGTTGGTAAAATGTGTAAGTCAAGTCTACAAAAAAGTAATGTACAAATAAGTTCACAGGCAAAGAAGGCAAGTACCAAGTAATCCTGAAGAAGGTTGAAAAGCCAATAGTATCAAGAGAACCATGTCTCAAGGCTCTTCGAAACACAAGGCTTGGACAGAGATTTAAGTTGCACGAATCCTTCATATGTGCGGGTGGAATAAAGGGGCACGACACATGTCAGGTTGGTTCTTTGTCTTAGAGCATCCGGAGGTAGGTGTATGCAAAGTGTGATCCATACTTTTTTCTACAGTTTTTGTTATGATATGTTACAATACACTTTTAATAACAAATTCAGTTCAAACCAAAGTTCAAATGGGAAGAAAGTCTTAAAACAGTTATATGACTTGAAAAATTACTGAATTTATGATTGTTGTATCTATCAAAGAATTTTTTGCAGCAGGTAAAACATTCTACTTGCAGATTTTTCATATTTTTAAGATGTTAACTAAACATATATTTAAAGTTATTTCCGATAGACAAATTATAGTATAAAAGGGAGAGAAGCACACTTTCTATGGGAGTACAGTAGACTCCCTCTTATCCGGACTCCTCGGGACCGAGGCCAGTCCGGATAACGGGTTTTCCGGTTAAACCGACGTTCCCAAAAATTTGTTAAAACAGACTGTTTACTGTGATATTCAACTTAAATTTAGGAGATAATTGTATTTAGACACGTGATCACTGGTCTCAAATCTTTCCAACGAGAACAGTCGTTTCAGTACTTCCCACTTCCTGCCGATCTAGACCGATTAAACCAATGTGCTGATAAAAATTGTCCGGTTAAAGAGATGTCATTTCCACCGAGTGTAGTCCGGTTAAACCGGTGTCCGGTTAAAAGGTGTCCAGATAAGAGGGAGTATACTGTATATCTTATAGGAAATTAGAGTGTAGTTTACACTACACTTCAGAAAAACCAATCACCTATCGTCCTGATGTTTGTCTTAATCTTATGTAATCAAACAATAGTTGAGACATATCATGTGGAATGTTCAGGGAGATGGTGGGAGCCCGCTTGTGTGCCCCTCAACCTTGGACCCTCAGGTATACGTACAAGCTGGCATTGTGGCGTGGGGCATTGGATGTGGCTCCGAGACTCCTAGTGTTTACGTCAGTGTTGCCCAATTCATCAACTGGATAGAAAATAAGATGAGCGAATATGACATTGACATCAAAACAGATTGGTACAGTAAACCCTTTTTGCGACTATTTTTGTTTTTAAAGCGATGTAGAAATCACAAGGATTGTCTACAATTAGGGTATCCCAACAAGCTACTGTTGCAGCCATGTAAGCTACTTAAAATCTGAAACAAGCGCTGTGTTCTTTACTTTTCTGACTGCTATTCCTGCTGTTTCCGATCCCTATGCGACAATTGGTCTTTTTGTAGAAGCCGATAATTTGAGGGGACAATATGAGGGAAAATTTACATCTGAGAAAGTATGAACCACGTTTTGGGAATAGGGAAAAAGGCCACTCCGTATTTAAATCCATTTCCAGTTAACAGATTTTTATAGAGTAAAGCCTAAGAACATAAAAAATATGCAAATGTACATACAGATGAAAATACAACTTTTGAATACGATTCTTGCTTGGAGCTGGATAATGTTTTTGAAAGCGAAAGATTTTTCAATGAAACCCCAATAAATAGTACTCTTAAAATATTTCACACAAACATCAGAAGTTTCTCAAAAAATTTTGACGATTTATCAGTGTATTTACAGTCTTTGAATGCTAATCTAGATATCATCGTCTTATCAGAGTGTTGGTTGAGCGGGGGGGAGGTGGGTCACATGGACGGGTTTGACTGTACAATGACAGATACACAAAACAACAAAAATGACGGAGTCATTGTTTTCATCAACAAACGTCTGTCTGCTACCGTAACTCAAGTTAACATCAACAGTGTTTTTGGTATTTCTTTGGAATTCAGTCATTTTAATAAAATATTCAATCTGTTAGCTGTTTACAGGACGTTTGATAGTGAAATTGATCATTTTATAAATGGTTTGGAATGCTATTATAATCGCATAAGTAAAGATACTCATTGTATCTTTTTGGGTGATATTAACATCGACTTACACAAAACTGATGCAATAACGGATCTTTACTTAAACACTTTACTAGGTGCTGGACTAGTCCAGTGCATCGACAAGCCGACCAGAGTGACACACAACACATCTACTTGTATTGACCACATTTTTGTCCGTTTTCATGATATGAGACGAGTCAAATCTGCTGTCATACAATCTCACATCACTGACCATTACAGCACTGCTCTTACAATCACTGACACCATTCAGACACCTACAGGAACTGGAAATGACACTCTGCCACAGAACCAATTTCGCACCTACATTGATCACGCTTTACTAACGGAACATATTACAAAAACAGACTGGAGTCCAATAATGAGTAATCACGAGGTTAATCAGTGCACAGCATGTTTTTGTTTGACATTGAGTAACTGTATTGAAGCCTCAACAAAAACAATTAAAAATCATTCAACAAGATTTAAAAAGATAAAGCCTTGGATTACCGTAGATTTCATTACATTAATTCGAAAACGAGACAAGTTAAGTAAAAAGATCAAAACCCAACCTTTTAATATATTACTTCTAGATAGATTCAGGGCCCTGCGCCTATCTTTAAATCAAAACATCAAACTCGCAAAGAAAAATTATTATAGGGGTAAAATTTCAGAATCTAACAGGGATCCAAAATTATTTTGGGGCATAGTTAGTGAAATATCAGGCAGGAATTGCTCTAAGGACCATTTTCCATTTGAAAAAGTTGTACCTGGTTCTTCGAATAATGTGAACATGAAGACTAAAATAGCAAACGATTTCAATAAGTTCTTTACATCAGTAGGTTCTAAATTGGCCAACTCAATCAATGCATCTGGGGCTCCAGTCGTAAACGACGCTGACTTCTCACTCGACACGAATTTCACATTCAACACGGTCACACACGCTGACATAGAACGTTACGTCCAGGGTCTGCGCGGAGGGTCTGCACCTGGCCATGATGGTATCTCGGCCTTTGTTCTTAAAGAAAACATCCACTCTCTATGTGCTCCTCTTTTGCACATTGTCAATCTTAGCCTGACATCTGGCATATTCCCAAACGAGCTGAAATTGGCCAAGATCATTCCATTGCACAAATCCAATGATTTCACAGACATGAATAACTATCGTCCGATTTCTTTGTTAAGTGTAATCGCTAAGCTATTAGAGAAAATTTCTAAAGACCAACTTGTTTTTTACCTCCACCAGTGCAATATTTTAAGTGAAAATCAGTATGGTTTCAGGAGTGACAAAAACATATCTGATGCTTTATTTGATATTAATAAATGCATTAACGAGGCAATTTATGGCAACAAACGAAGTATGTTAATATTTTTAGACTTGAAAAAAGCTTTTGACTCAGTGGACAGAAGCCGATTGTTGCGTAAACTTGAGCTTGTCGGGGTGCGCGGCACCTCGCTCGCTTGGTTCAGCAGCTACCTCTCTGATAGGCTACAAACTGTCGCACTTGGTGAAGTGTCAAGCGATGTTTTGCCAGTGGAGTATGGTGTGGTCCAGGGTTCGACACTTGGTCCTTTTTTATTCCTCATTTATATTAATAATATTTCTAAAATTCAAACAGAAGGAAAATTAACATTATTTGCTGATGATACTCTAATATTTGTAACCGGATCATCCTGGGAGGAGGTTAAAAACAAGGCTGAATCAGACCTCTGTTTGCTAAAAAAATGGCTTGACCAAAATGTATTGTCTCTTAATATAACGAAAACCAAATTCATGCCAATTTCATTACGCAAGATAACCGAATACAAACTTGATAACCTATCTATTCATGTCTGTGGAAGTCATTCCAATAACTCTTGTTTTTGTAGCAAAATTGAAAAAGTTGATTCATACAAATATCTTGGTATTGTTTTTGATTCAAAGATGAAATGGTCGGAACATGTTGAATATCTAAAAAATAAATTACGTAAATATATTTATGCATTTAGGCAACTTAGTGATATACTCGAGGAGCAAGAAATTAAAATAGCATACTATGCATATGTTCAATCATTGTTATCTTTTGGAATTATTGCTTTTGGTGGTGCTTACAAAACTATCTTGCAACCTGTTTTTGTTGTACAGAAAACAATACTTAAAGTTGCTTTTAAAAAACACTTTAGATATTCAACTGATGACCTTTTTGTAGAAACGGGAGTTTTGACAGTCAGACAGTTATTTTTAAAATTTATTTTAGTTCACATGTACAAAAACTTTGATGATATTTTTATAAAAATTACTCATCCACACAATACGCGCTTTTCTCGAAATGTTGGTATAAATGTTCCACAAACCTTAAAATCATTTTCACAAACGAATTGCTTTCACTTAACCCAAATCATTTATCGTAACATGTGTAACAGATATCAAAATGTCAACATTCTAAATTCACCCTCTCTCTCTCTATTTAAGAAGCATGTAGTAGCGTGGCTTGTAGGATTGAGTGCAGAGGACACCGAGGCCGTTATCACGCTGGGCGGACCTGACCGTTGACCCTACACAATCACTGATACACCACCCTCACTGACTGGCCAACACACCACATTCCACCTCTCCTCTTCAATCTTCACCTGATTTTTATAAATTTCCTCAGTATTGTACAAAAAAATTTTTTTATCGTCAATTATTTCCAGAACACTAAAAATTCAGTTTCAAGCAAGAAAACTTTTTTTTTATTTAAAATTATACTAATTAGTTTTTGTTTTCCTATTCATTTTTTTACCTCCCATCTAAATTAACCTTTTCGCAACTCGAGTCTACGCACAGGCCCTGCCTATGTAGACTTTTTCCTCTGTTAGAACGTATTTTTTTTGCACTTTTTGGCTTTATTTCTACAGAATTTAATTTTTTGTTTTGTTATCTAGTTGTAATGTTTGCTGTAGTATATTTTAAGTAAAAAAAAAATACAATGTAATTATATGTATATAATTTATGGGAAATAAAATATTATTTCATTTCATTTTTCATTTCATTTCATTTTGGCTTATGGAGGGGCTTTGGTGTTGGCCGGCTGCGGTTGCCTATCAGTTCCCATAGAGAAGATTAATCAAAGTTGAAACTTTGATAACACTGACCAGTCTTTCAGTATTATATCGGATAGCGTATTTTGTCATGTGTTTTTGTTGTGAGTGTTCTACAAATGTATGATGATGGACTCTAGAAGTCTGAAACTAAAGTAGTGCACTTTTACAATGGATCACTCTTCAAAGCAAGGTAACTTAAATTTAGTGATTCAGAGGCTACTATACCATGATTCTTTGCTTGCAGATCGGCGTGTTTGACTACCAGCGTTTGTAATCCTTGGTAGTCTCAGATACTTCCCCAGTAAGTTTGGCAATCTTTAACTCAGTGAAATACCAAGATTTTTAACCATTGTCTCAATGAACTAAAAAACCGCAACTGGCATTCACTGTGCAAAACATTGTTAATACTGTGCAAATGTGGGCATAGGAGTTGGTAGGTGAACAAGGCATGGGCAACCATTAATATGGGCTAGGCGAGCCTCCAGCCCCTATAAGACCCCAAGTTAACCATATATTAAAACGTTTTTATTAGCTCGCTTTCTTGTCCAGTACAAATTTTGCAATTGATTTTACACTAACTTCCCGATGAGCTAGAGACTTGAAACTTGAAACATAGCCCACAAATTTATGACAATGCAATACTTAATCATTTTATTTTCATATTTCCCTTGGGATATATGAAAGGTGAAAGGTTCTGAGAGGTTCTATGATGGAATAGCTTCTTTCTGCATCAGTGAGAGAATGTGAAATGTAGCTTACTGGTTTGAATGTGCCACTTTTTTCTCGCTGCAATAATACTCCGCCGATACAAAAAAATGATGATGAATCAGATGAAATCATTGTTCGGCAGTTAGGATCATAGAAAGCTAAGTGAGGAGCTGTAGTAAGAAGATCTTTGATAGTATCGAAAGCTTATTGTTGCGGTTTGTCCCATATCTAAACATTATTTTTGTTGAGTAGCTCGTGAATAGGCTTCAAAATCTCAGACCTATTTGGAATATATCTTTCACTGAAATTGATCATTCCAAGATATCTTTGTACACCTTTCACATCAGTTGGAGGCTCCATCTCAGAAATAGCCTTAACTCTCTCCTGATCAAGAGAAATGCCATCAGCACTCAGTTCAAAGCCAAGGAACTTAATTTTTGGCTGTGAAAAGACTGTTCTCTTTATTCAAGGTAATGCCTTCCTTTTGAAGCTTTTCCAGAACCTCCATCAAAACCTTGTCATGCTCGTCTTGTGTGCATCCCCATAGGATATCATCAATGTAAGCTTTTACATTTTTTTCATCACCAAGAGCAGCATGGATACGTTTCTGGAAATGATCCGGAGCTGATGTAATGTCAAAGGGGAGGACCTAGAACTTAAATCGCCCCAAGGTGTCAAAAAGTGGTGAAATCTTGTGATTTTTCTTCCAAAGGTATTTGCCAAAACCCGTGTTTAGTCCAGGATCTGAAGAGGGTTGAGTATGCAAGAAAAGGGTGACGCAATTTTATTTCTGATTCTTGTTATAGGCACTATTATGACGCATGTTGTCGCCCCCCAGCGTGGTCGACATCCCAGGGGGGAGTGGGGCAATATGGCGGGGGGCACCGTTTAATAAAACGCCTATAACTCAAGAATTCTTGGTATAACATTGCAATAAACGTCAATTTATTCATTAAATTATGATCTTTAAAAATATTACTGTGTTGAAATTCGTATATTTGTTGGTTTTTTAATCATTTTATATTAAAGCTAAAAATCAATATGGGTTATGGGGTAAAAAATAGGTTTTTCCCATTTTTGACTAATTTCACAACTTTTTTCCAGACCATTTCGTAGAGCTGATGGTCTAAAAAAAAGAAAAAAAAATAATTTTGTCCATTGAAGTGTTGTTGTATGCCTAACGGTTGCGGAGATAATTAAAAAAAGAACTTTAAATCCAAAATTCCCATGTTATTCTTACGCAGAATACATAAGCTTGCTTATTTTTGGATATATTTTAATCAAATTTGGCAATTTTGTTTATCTCATACTAAGCTATCAACATTTCAATAAAAATTCCCCTCAATACCTTTCCTGTAGCAGCAAACCTAGGTACTCATTAAAATTAATTTTATTTTAATAGGAAATAAAGCTGACAATCTTCAGGGAATATTTTAGTAGAAATCCAGCCAGGTAAATAGAAATTCGCTTAGTCTGCAGGATTTCTGCGGCGGTAGTATTTTTTTAAAGCAACTGAAATTATAAGTTTCAAGAGATTCTGTTTAAGGATAAACTTAGCTTTATGTTTGTAGGTCTATGAATAAAAAAAATATTTGATGAACAATCAGGAAGAAATAAATGGAAAACTGTTATTTACTTATTCAAGGCCTACAATCTATATATAAAGCCAAAAGTACCCATGAACTTTTGAGAAGTCACACCCCCATAAGCCATATACTTAAAATGTTAGTCATGACGAGAAACCTTGCCCAAAACTATCCATTATTTCATAAATTGCCCTTTAAGCCCTTTAATTCCTTTCTAAATGGAACTTTCCATATACCCAATGTTAAAAATACCTCAGCTGTACTTATTTGTTTGTTATTCTTTCATTTATTACCTTACTAGCAGAGTACCCGTCCTTCGTACGGGGTTGGCATATAAAATGCTTATTACAGTTATTGGAGAGAACATGGTTAAAGAAAATTTGGTTATTTTAATTTACGGTATGCTATCGTATATGGCACATCTACCACAGCCACAATGTTCTACCACTGCACCTAAACAATGAAAAAAGTGAAATTCTCATTTTCGCATCTTTTTGTTGCTAGTTGGTTCAAATTAGATGTTGTCATAAATGAAAAAAAAAATAATAGTGCTGCACCTTGTTGGTAAACCTTGCAACGTTTTAATGCTATTTAATATCACAGAACCAACTTGTGCAGTTGAAACAGCTGAAAAAATTATTTAATTCCTTTTAAATCTAAATACTATACAGCCCGATGTGTAACTCACTGGAGATAAAAATGTTTGGCCACTTCTAGAAGTGCTAGGGAGTTGAAATTTGGCACGCGTGTATGAATACTTATAAGGTGGATGGAAACTCCAGGGCCACTGGGGCGGAGCCCGAAAGGACTTTTGAGATAAGAATGAGTCTATATGTTAATTGGGAATGTGAGCTATCATCACACAAAATTTCAGCCCAATCCGACCAGTATTTTTTGCTTTTACTTGTCACAAACATACATACATACATCCAAACTTTCTCATTTATAATATTAGTAGGATTAAATAGGCCAGTAAAAATAGGTTTTTGCCCGGAAATAATTCTCGGAAAGCTGGAAATTGTTTCAATCCTTTTGTTTTATATAGAAGTAAAAGGATTTGAAGTTTGTCCCATTTTTTCAGGTGAGCTTCTGACCTGGGACCACAAAAACCTTGAAATTTAGGGTTATTTTTAGTTTTTACTTTAACGTCAAAGAACCGTCCAGCCTACAGAAAAACACACTATAAAGGAATTGTAGAGTATAAAATTCCGCATCCATTGAGTATCTGGTGATGAATATCGAACCAATATTAAGTTATTTATAGTAAATTTAATAAAGTTATTTTATTAAGAAATGATTGAACATTGCATATTTAACTTATATATATATTTATTCTAGAAAATGGATTCCTAGTACATTATTATTTACAAAGTAATTAATACGAATTACAAATACTCTTGCCGCAGCAAACCTGCAGACTAAGTGATTTTCCATTTACCTGGCTGGATTTATACTAAAATATTCCCTAAAAAATTGTCAGATTTATTTCCTATTTTATTAACATTAATTTTAGTGACTACTTAGGTTTGCTGCGACAGGGAAGATATTGAGATGTGTTTTTTTATTGCAATGTCGATAGCTTAGTATAAAATAAACAAAGTTTTCAAATTTGGTTTAAATATATCCATAAACAAGCAAACTACAACAGTTTATTTATTCTCAATTAGAATAACATGGGAATTTAAATTTAAATTTTTTTTTTTATTATCCCCGTAACCGTTGGGCATACAACAACGCTTCAATATACAAATAAATTATTTATTTGTTTAAGCTCTACAAAATGGTTTGGAGAGAAATTATGAAATTTTTGCTTTTTGGGTCAAAAATGGGAAAATCAATTTACGTTAGTGGGGCCGTCTTTAAATGTCCTTACCCACTTGTGAAACATTCCGCCACTCATAATGTTCTCGCCATACACTTGACTTATCTTTTGATGAATTTCAATGGCTTTCACGCCATTAGCAGTTAAAACCTAATTACAGCACACGCACTTCACAGTCGGTGGCAGTCTCAATCGGCGTCAACATTTCGAATGCTCGAAGCCGGATGTAAACAGGGCCGATTTTTGCCGAATTTCCGGCGCAGGCTTTTTTTTTTTTTAATAGAGGGCCAGGCTTCAAGTAACCATGGGATTGCATCGCAGCTAGAACAGCTTATTGTGCACCCTCATTCACAGGTCCTCATTCTTTGTCAAATCCCAGGTCCTTTGTGAACCGTGAGATCCTTTTGACAATGGTGACCCGTTCTTCCCTTTGATCTCCAGTCGATAGGCCAAGGGATCTCATGCGCAGACCTTGCAGGGCTGGGCACATAAATATCACGTGGAATGCTGTCTCCTCCTCCTCTCCACATTTCCTACATAAGAGGCTTTCAACTTGAATTCCCATCTTGTGTAAATGTCCACGGAATACCCAATGGCCGCTAATAAAGCCAACCACCTTCCGCAGGGTCTTCCTACTCAGCCCAAGGGCTTCTGCCGCTATCGCACCTGTAGGTGCCTTCAGCATTCTCTTTGACTGTACATTTCCTTCTGTTCTTTCCCAGTTCCTTTGATGTTCTATGCCCATCCACTGGCGAACAGCTCTCCGTGCTGTGTTGTAAGCAATACCACACGTCGGCTCTGGACCCATGAGCGGGCTTTCAGCTCCTTTGTTTGCCCACTTGTCAGCTCCCTCATTGCTAGCAATACCTTTGTGCCCTGGAACCCAACTAAGGATGATCCTGTTGGTCTTTCCCAGGGCTTTCATGGCTTGATGACAGTCCCATACAGCCTTGGAGGTAAAGTCGAAACTGTCAAGTGCCATTAGTGCTGCTTTGCTGTCTGAGTTCATGTATATAGTGTGGCCTATAAGACCGCGCTTCAAACACACTCTCGCACACTCAGACAAGGCCACCACTTCTGCCTGGAATACAGTGGCCATTTTTCCCAAACTTACGCAGAACTGCACCTTGGGTCTGACTCCATATATTCCAGCCCCCGTGCCCGTTGGCTTTTTCGAGCCATCCGTATACCAGGTGATCCCCTTTTTCATGAATTCAGGTTCACCCTTATCCCAGGCATCCCTGTCAATCCATATCACGTGGAATGCTGTCTCCTCCTCCTCTCCACATTTCCTACATAAGAGGCTTTCAACTTGAATTCCCATCTTGTGTAAATGTCCACGGAATACCCAATGGCCGCTAATAAAGCCAACCACCTTCCGCAGGGTCTTCCTACTCAAGAAGGAATTGTGGATGTACAATGCCAATCGCACATTGTATGGTTTTTCTAGATCTATGATCTTCACCATCCTGTCTGGTAGCATTTCCAAGGAGTTCTTTTGCACCTTGTCTACAATTCTTGTGTGCTCACTGGAGGCATTATACTTCCAGTTGCCACTACAAGCCATTCTATAGGCTGCCATCCTTGCCTCTCCTTTCACAATGATGTCGAGAGGTGGCAGGTTTAGCACTACTTCCAGGGCTGCAGTTGGAGTGCCTCTCATGGCTCCTGTGATGCTAAGGCATGCCACTCGCTGGATCTTTTGTAGTCTCTTTACAGCGGTAGTTTGCATTACCTTGGTCCACCAGACCACCGAGCCATACACCATCATCGGTCTTGCAACCCTAGTGTATAGCCAGTTAGTCATTTGTGGACTTAGACCCCAGGTCTTCCCAACAGCCCGCCTCATCATCATAAGTGTGGTCTGAGAACGTTGCGTTATATGTGCCAAATGGCTGTTCCAGGTGAGCTTGTCGTCCAGCCTTATTCCTAGGTACTTGAACTCCCTCTTAACCTGGATCTGATTACCGAAGAGAGTTGGTACTCTAGCGATATCAACATTTCTCTTCCTTGTAAATGGTACCATTACAGTCTTCATTGGATTGACCCTCAGACCTTCCTGGTTACACCACTTCTCCACTATGGACAATGCCCTCTGCATGAGTTCCAGGCAAGTGTTCATAAATTTTCGGCGCAGGCTTGCCAGTAGATGCACATACACAGTGCAAATGTCCAAAATGCCAATCGCAGCGCTGGAACGGAGAAATTTAAAAACGGAACTTACTTAAAACACATGCCTCGTACAACTCTAGGTGTTTCTTGCACCAATCCACCAGAGAAAGAAAAACCACAAGTAAGCTAAGACACACGTACAGAGGAGGAGGCGTACTGAGCATGACCTGCAGTTACGGATTCACCACGAAAGAGACAAAAAATCTTATAAGTTTTTAGCGAATTTCCCATATTGGGAATAAGCTATTACCGTGGGTCTCAAGGTAAGACCTAGACCCGGGACCGATTTACTTTTTCGTTTTAAGGTCCCCAGAAGCCAAAAACACCATCCGTTTAAATATATATATATATTTATTTATTTATATATGTCTGTTAGCGCGATAAATCGAGCAAAAATGATCCGATTTTGATGAAATTTGGTACAAACGTGTAAACCTACATTTATTCGAATGAGTTCATGAACCATCATAATCGTACTAGGGGAGCGGGGGTTTATGGGGAGTTTTATATGGTAAAATTTTATTTTTCCCATTTTTGACCCAAAAAGCACAAAATTTCATAATTTCTCTCCAAACCATTTTGTAGAGCTTAAACAAATAAATAATTTATTTTTATATTGAAGCGTTGTTGTATGCCCAATGGTTACGGGGATTATTAAAAAAAATTTAAATTTAAATTCCCTTGTTATTCTTATTGAGAATGAATAAACTGTTGAAGTTTGCTCGTTTATGGATATATTTAAACCAAATTTGGAAATTTTGTTTATTTAATACTAAGCTATCGACATTGCAATAAAAACACATCTCAATATCTTCCCTGTAGCAGCAAACCTAAGGACTCACTAAAATTAATGTTAATTAAATAGGAAATAAATCTGAACATTTTTAGGGAATATTTTAGTATAAATCCAGCCAGGTAAATGGAAAATCATTTAGTCTGCAGGTTTGCTGCGGCCAGGGTATTTGTAATCTATCTATATATTAACTACGTAAGCCGATTCTTTGCGTCAAAATTGTGGCCGACTGGGAAGTCGTAGAACGACGGGAGAGGGTTTAAATTAAAGGTCTTGATCCCGAGTGTAATTCCCCAAATTTTAACACAAAATTAGATAAAACGTAAAATGTCCTCCATAAGAATAGCATTTGAATCCATACACAGCTGGTTTTTGTTTACTTGAATTATAGGTGATCTCGCTGTATCTCAAAGCCAGTAGTCAATATACACAGTTGGTTTTCTTCTTAGCCAGTTAACTCTGCAATGTACTGTATACTATTTTAAAATCAGGAATAACGTTATCTATAGTTGAGTCTTTTTGAAAACCAAAAACCAAACCAAAAATTTTTGTGTCAACTGTCAATTCTAATATGGAAAGGAATTTCGTGATTGGCTTGGACAACTGGGAAATGGAATCCTAAAATAATACTCAGTTTGGCTAATAAAACTGTTCCTCATTCCTCTTGTTCAACTGTTCCTCATGTTGTCCATTTTGAATCGTACTTCCCTAAAGTTTAATCTTCATCGGATGGCCGCGCAACGGACAGAAACACAATTGGATTTCATATAACAAGATCCAAAGAAATCTGAGACTTTTTACACAAATATATGGTGTACAGGTAAAGGTATAACCATCGTGACAAAAAATAATTTTATAGTATTTTTAATATAACAATAAGTTGTTTTACATTTTGAGTCTTTTAGGGACCTATGTCCCTACATGCCACTAGTTTGTTTTAATTACTTTGTAAATAATAATGTACTTGGAATCCATTTTCTAGAATAAATATAAATGTTAAATAATTTCTTAATAAAATAACTTTATTTAAATTACTATAAATAACTTGATATTTTTTCGATATTCATCACCATATACTCAATGGATGCGGAACTTTATACTCTACAATTCCTTAATTATGTGTTTTTCTGTAGGCTGGACGGTTCTTTGGCGTTTTAGTAAAAACTAAAAAAATAACCCTAAATTTCAAGGTTTTTGTGGTCCCAGGTCAGAAGCTCACCTGGAAAAATGGGACAAACTTTAAATCCTTTTACTTCTATACAAAACGAAAGGATTAAAACGATTTCCAGCTTTCCGAAAATTATTTCCTGGCACAGCCAATTTGTTAACTAATTTTACTGGCCTAAAAATCAGGTGTGATTATTTGTTTGTTTTACTGTATTTTGTTAATTTCAGGTTAACTTAACCAATCAATAGTTTTATTAATACTTATGAAGTCAAACGGGGTGAAGCCCGTGGGTAACAGCTAGTTAAATTTAAATATAAATGCTGGGACATTTCATTATCGTATCATGAGCTATATGATACGATACCGCTGTCTTTCTTTGGTACGACGACCAATGGGGAACACCAAGGTGTGGCATGGTCTACTGGAGTTATGTCCTCCATATCTCTTCCTTGGTTTTTGACCATAATTGTAGAGGTATTCGTCGAGACACTGTAATTGAGATTAGCTTTGCTCCCATTTTTAACTCATTTTCATAAGCTCCTTTCATTTTACCTAAACCATTGAAAAGAGCTGGATATTTTTTGTACCAGTTGGTCGAAGTCGAAGATACATTTCGGACAACTGTAGAAGGTAAAGTTTTTCAATGGCTGGGATACCTAGGAGCGGTGTTTTAGATTTTTCTGCTACATAAAAATGCTCAAAACAAGACTTGTTCTTATAGCCTAACCTTACATTTACCATCCCTCGTACAGCTAACCAAGTCCTATCCGGTCCTGAGAGTCTTTTACAGGAATTTTGCAATAGAACTGTTTTGTTTAGCTTTGTATTAACTGGCAAAACTGAAACGTCTGCTCCAGTATCGATTTTAAAATTAATAATGTCAGAATCATTAAATCTGAAGTCAATTTCCCAAGATTCAGGGTTTAGAGCACTGTTTTCGTTTATTTTACAAACAAGCGAACTTAGAACAAACTTAAGCAAAGTGACCGTTTGCTTTGCAGTTGTTACACCGAACATTTTTGGCAGGACACAAGCCTCGGCGATGGGATAGAGTATTCACACATCATTTACATAGGTTTCCCGAATTGGATTTGCCATGGTTATTAGAAATAGTTTTCTTACCAAAAGACTTTTTGGAAGTGGTGTTTAATTTCACCCAATCAATGTAGTAGTCAACGGAGGGATCATCAGCTAGGTCAAGCTTTTGCCTAACTAATGCCTCTGAACTGTGAAGAGCATCAACTGCAGTTTCTAATTTTAGTGAGCTTTGTAACTGTAAGCGATCATGGTTTTGATCATTCATTCCAACGATAAGTCGCATTAGAATCATTTCATCCCTTAAATCTCCCCAGTTGCATGGTTTTGCAAGAGTATGTAAGTCCGTGATGAAGTTTTCAGCAGACTCTGAGGATCCCTGTTTTTGTCTAAGAAATTTAGCACGCTGATAAATTATGTTTGTTTTGAAAACGAAATGGTTTTTCAATTTCCCCATAATCAGTTCACAATTTTCCAACTCATCAGGGCTGAGATTAAATTAATCAAATATTTCCTCAGCCTTATCCCCCGTACAGTTGCAAAGGATATCAACTTGCCTTTTCCCAGGTGCTTTATGTAGAACACTGACTGACCTGTACCTTTAAAAGCGTTTCTTCCACACACTCCAATCATAGGTGTTGAAGGAAAAATTGTCTGGAGGCTTGACATGGATTTGGTTTGTTTGAAGTGTGTTCTCTTCAATTTCCTGTTGGATCTGTAGGTTTAAATCACGCTGCGCCATGTATCACGACTGTGATAGTTGTCTTGACAATAATTTAATCAGGAAAAAACTCAACTAAATTAAATAAGACTTTACTTAAACATTTTTTTTTACAAGTATTTATTTACAATCTATTCTATACTAGAACAATAAGTAAACTTCATGACAATTTTTCAAGCAATAGGTAAGTTTTAGTATTGGTTATAATTTAACTATGTTTTGTTGTGTTTCAGAACTGTTTGAAGTGATGGAACCAAGATTTAATAAATACCAACCTGAATTTATAAGTAAATAAAATATAAATGATCAAAATAAAAAATGTTAATATTTATTTATCCAAGTGTATATGCTAGATTTAAAATGCATAATTTAAAACTGTGTGGTTTAACTAATGTAATTAAACTTTTAAAATGTAATGATAACACTTTTACAGTGATGTTTATATGAAGTAGTAAACCTGATCAGCGTAACTTTTAATCATTAATTTATCAGTGCAACAACATATTTTTGTAGTGTTTGGGGTGAGACAGGACAAACCTATGTCCATCATAATCTACAAAGGGTAGAAAATTAAGCAAATCCATTGAGATAACATTTCGAATAAATTAGCTAGAGACCAGCCATCTTTTGTACTAATTATTAATTATAAAAACAAATTTTATAAAAAAATGCTTAAAATTGTACCACTTGTTCCTACTTTGTAATACAACTTAAAATTTACATTGTTAAAATAAAATAAAATATTCTTCTTCGGGATTCATCAAATAAAAACTGCTTCTTACAAATACAATACTTAAGTTGAGCGGAGCAAGCAAAGCTCTTATACGTCGACTCTTGTGCATTGTGTAATACCCAAATTCCTCCCAGACGACTGAAGCAATCATTCTCAAATTTTGCATGGTGATATAGACCATATTGGTGAGTGCCAACATCTATATGGTGTTAACAAAATCTCTCAGGAATCTGCCCCACGGGGTCTCAAAGTTTCAATGTAATCCTTATAGAGGTAGTATTTGGCAAACAAAGGCATAAGATCAGCTGTTGACTTTTACATTCAGTAGATCAACAAATATCTAATAGCATTATTTTACAGATATTAGAACAGAAACGGTATGGATCATAAATATAATCAAATGACGACACTAGCTTGAATCTTATACTAAGAGCCTTATCATCTTGTTTGGACGTTTATTGACAGTTCTATTTTTAATACTAAAGAAAACATGTTTGCTTTCGGTCCATCCAAATAAATTAACAGTTGAAGTTGTGTTTGAAATGTTCTAAGCTTACTTGGAAAAAGCGTATACTGTATAATCTTTTTAGTAGCCCGTATATTAGCGATGAATTATTGGTTTGTGATTAGTATATAAATCTTGTGGGGTTTTACAAAAACAGAACCAAGTGTTTCAAAGCGAACAAAGTTGACGTATTTACATGGTAGTACATACAGATTTTTAAATAATAGTGTCTTAGTTGATATTGTGTTTTTTATGCCATAGGCTTACTTGAGAAAAACTGAATTTTTAATATTAGTTTTAATGAAAAAAGTTATGAATTAGTTTTAACTTGTTCGCTACTGCAATAGTACGACATTTTTCATTCCCATGGACCAGCGACACACATATGCGACGGCTGGTCACATTAAAATAGACTGAGGATGCATATTTGCGTCGGGGTTCTAATGTTATTAAAATGCTTATATCTTTGTAACGGTCTATTTGAAGGCACTGAAATAATACTTTCTTATTAAATGGCGACCATACAAAGTAGGTATTTTAAGCCAAGTATGAATGGAGATGAGTGTACGATGAGTGGCGCGATCTTGTAGTCTTGTTATAGTGGGGTGGGTTAGCTGAAAAATATTTCACATCTGGCAACCAACGCGCCCCTTTGGATTCAGATAGTACATGCGTAGACGAGTCCAAAAAGTCCGGGACACAAATTTTTCGGGCACTCTATGGGTGTTGATGACGTTATCAAAATGGCCGCCAAAGTTGTGTGACATGATTCTACATTTCCCTATATAACTCGGGTTCATATTCTAATAATGCCCTACATCTTTAGTGATTATTAATCACGAAAAAATTACCTTTCCGATGGTGTACTTTACTTCATTGTTTAGATTCATAATACTACTAATATTTATAGTTTTATTAAATATTTTGTTTTTGATTTAGATTTTTTTTACATTTTGCTAAGTTTCGTGGATTCCGTTACACGTAGCTGAAAACGTCTTGCATACACTTTTTTGTTAGACTTTTTTGTTGTTGTTTTGTTTTTTGTTGTTTTTTCTAACGGTATATAAAACTTATATTTTAATACAAAAACACTGCTTGAAATTTGCCACAACAATGTAGTGGTACACAGTGAGTCGTTATGACAACAATGCAATGTCTATGGGTACCGAAAAGTAATAGCGATATTTAGGGCTATTAAACTTTTAATTTCGTTTTAAAATTAGAGACAATAAAATTAAGTAGAAGAATTAAATTCCCCCTGCTGCAGCAAACCTACCGACTAAGCGAATTTCCATTTGTCTGAATTCATTTTCAATTAAATATATTTTAATAACATTAGCTTTAACGAGTACCTAGGTTTGCTGCTACAAAGAAACTAATTAAGTGTGTTTTTTAGTAAAATATTGATAGCTTAGTATAAAATAAATAAATTTGCCAAGTTTGATCAAAATATATCCATAAACAAGCAAACTACAACATTTTACAATATTGTCCATAAGAATAACATAGGAATTTTAAATTTACAATTTTTTAAATTTTCTCCATTACCAATAACCAAACAAAAACACTTTTATATACTTAATTAATTGTTTTTTAAGCTCTTTAAAAAGGTCTAAAGAGAAATTGGGATATTTTGCGTTTTGAGGGTCAAAAGTGAGAAAAACAATTTTTATCCCGCAAAACCCCCCCCGTAAAGCCTCGTTCCCATGGTCCGATTATGCTGGTTATGCTGGATCTCATTCAAGTTAAACCCGCTTTACACCTTTAAACCAAATTTCATTAAAATCGGACAAAAATTACTCAAGTTATCGCGTTCACAGACGTATATATATAAAGGGTGTCCCACGAAGGGTTTAAACGTTTGATTTTAGATTACTTGCCAATTTATGCTCCGAACATTTTGAAACTTTACACAATCTATAAAGTAAATTTTAAAAATATTCTGGGAAAGTTTCAGCTCCCTACCTCTTGTAAAAACAAAATCGGAGCATATTGAAAAATGATACTTTAAACACATTAAAAATAGTGTTTTTGGTTTTGTAGAACATTTGTATTAACGCATTCTACGGAAATAAGGCTTTTTCATCAGGAAATTATACCATAGCCTAGTGAAAACCCTAAAGTAGAGTCCAAATTTATTGTAACTGTCATCCATCACTAGTTAAAAATTAATAATAAATTAATTTATATAATATAATTAGTTAATAAAAACATTCAATACGCCACAATTTTGTTTCTACAAGGAACGGGAGATAGATCTTTCACAGACATTTTTAAACCTTCTGTACTTTATAAATTGTGTAAAGTTTCAAAATGTTCGGTCCATGAATGGGTAAGAAATATAAAATCAAACGGTTAAACCTCTTCGTGGGACACCCTGTATATATATAATTTGAACGAATGGGTTTTTTGGCCTCTAGGAAAATCAAAATGAAAAAGTAAATTGGTCCCGGGTCTAGGTCTTACCGGCACGGATCACACCTATGGTAATAGCTACTTCCCTATAGGGAAATTCGCTAAAACAAAAGAGTGTACTCTATATAATATTGTTTAAATTTTATATCAAAATTCATAAATATCATATACATCAAAAATATAATCCAGGCTTAAATCAAACAGATTAACCCTTAGTGCCCATTGACCAAATCTGTGGGCACAGTATTATAAAACATCAATATCAGTATATATAAATTATGTTATATATAAAATATATCCTAAAATGGGGTTTTAGGAACAAATTGAGTAATTGTTGTCCGATTTGGATGAAATTTGGTTTAAAGGTGTAAAGCGGGTTTAACTTGAATGAGTTCCAGCATAACCAGCATGATCGGACCATGGGAACAGGGCTTTACGGGGGGTTTTATTGGGTAAAAATGGTTTTTTCTCACTTTTGACCCTCAAAACGCAAAATATCCCAATTTCTCTTTAGAACTTTTTAAAGAGCTTAAAAAAACAATTAATTTAGTATGTAAAAGTGTTTTTGTTCGGTTATTGGTAATGGAGAAAATTTAAAATATTGTAAATTTAAAATTCCTATGTTATTCTTATGGACAATATTGTAAAATGTTGTAGTTTGCTTGTTTATGGATATATTTTGATCAAACTTGGCAAATTTATTTATTTTATACTAAGCTATCAATATTTTACAAAAAAACACACTTAATTAGTTTCCTTGTAGCAGCAAACCTAGGTACTCGTTAAAGCTAATGTTATTAAAATATATTTAATTGAAAATGAATTCAGACAAATGGAAATTCGCTTAGTCGGTAGGTTTGCTGCGGCGGGGGTATTTAATTCTTGTACTTAATTTTATTGTCTCTAATTTTAAAACGAAAGTAAAAGTTTAATAGCACTCAATAGCGCTATTACCTTTCGGTCCTCTTATAAATTGCATCGGGGTGATAACGACTCACTGTGTACCACTACATTGTTATGGCAAATTTTGAGCAATGTTTTTGTATTAAAATATAAGTAATATATACAGTTAGAAAGGTAATATTCTGACAAAAAAGTGTATGTAAGAAGTTTTCAGCTACGTGTAACACGATCCACGACACTTAGCAAAATGATTTAAAAAAATCTAAATAAAAAACAAAATATTTAGTACAAATATAAATATTCTTAGTATTATGAATGTAAATAATGAAGTAAAGTACACCATCGGAAAGGTAATTTTTTCGTGATTAATAATCACTAAAAATGTAGGGCATTATTAGAATATGAACCCGAGTTATATAGGCAAATGTAGAATCATGTCACAAATCTTTGGTGGCCATATTGATTACGTCATCAACACCCATAGAGTGCCCGAAAAATTGGTGTCCCGGACTTTTTGGACTCGTCTACGCATGTACTATCTGAATCCAAAGGGGCGCGTTGGTTGCCAGATGTGAATTATTATGGTGTAATTTGTTGCTAACCCACCCCACTATTAGTGAATAAGGCCGACATTCCTCAGACACAGCTGTTAATTAATAGCCCATACAGCTAATGGCAACTAAGGGACCTACAGTTTATAGTGGAATCCGAACCACATTTTTGCCTTGGTATATACGAATTGGTCTAATTATCAGGATAGTAC